AACATTTGAGTGGCATTTGACAGACTTTAAGAACACATTAAATCCACCTTCCCAACATTTCTAGTTCCCATTATGTACCACTGCTCTGTCATACAATCCTTTGGTTCCTATTGGTTGTGGGGTAGACCCTTGGTGGATTGGTCCTCTTGCACAACTCTTGGTCGTTCAATCAAACTGGAAATTTGGAGCCCAAAACAGCAGGTGTTACTGTTCCTGTCTTGTGCTAGGGTGTAGTTGGCTCCCATCAGGAAATGCTATTGTTACAGGGGACATCTATTCTGAAATGCATCACTACTATAAAGCTTATGCTTGTAAATGGGTGTATGAAATTTGTGAGTCTTCTCTAGGGCAGCCGAATGAATTTTTCTTACAGTCTTTCTTCACAGAGAATACTTTTTTTCATAAAAGACATATCTGTCGCTGAATTTGTTTTAATTTAATTCAAAACGTGATGCTTGCGCTTGAATTTGGATTATATAATATATGAGTGTTCATCCATGGAGAGTTCACTCTGTTTGCCTTATATGGCCCTTCCCTCTCCACTTATAGGCTAAGATTCAGAGTGCAGCTGCCCACCATTCAGTTTTCATCAACTGGGTGGCAAAGAACGGTGAGGTCATTTCAATATAGCAACAAGAGCCCTCTATTTGTCACCCTCATTCATATCAGATGAATGAATGGCTTTTGGGAATGTATCATGCATGTGGCTGAAACTTCAAACTAAAAGAATAAGCCCCACAGAATCAGATCTACACACACTTGAAATACAAGCTTGCTTGGTCCTTCTAGCTAAAAATGTCAGTGACGCTGACAGAGTTTTCAGCTTTCACAAACTAGGAAAGTGTGGTGCAGTTCATTTGTAGAGTGGACAATCTGTGAAACAGGAAGTGTAAAAAGGTAATATCACATAAAAGAAGTTGTTATTGCTCAGTGGGACACACATGAAGGTCAGAGGCTTCCTACACTTGTGTGCGGCAATAACAAGAGAAGAAACCACAAAAACAACCGAGGCTTTCATTTTGTAATATTCATTTATTGTTCAATAAAAATAGATTTTAAAAAAGTGACGTGATGTCTCCTTCATGACTTTGCCTGATGCATCTGCCAACTCCTTGTAAACATGGTGCCTAACTCTTTTTTTTTTTTTTTGGACTGGAAAGGGAATTTTTTCTGAAAAGAAAGAAAGAAAAACAACAACCAGCCTGCTACTTCTCTGATCTTTGACCTCTGTTATGATAACCCGTCTTACATTTACTTTCACATTTAGGGCCGATACAGTACATTCATCCACACTGGTCTCGTTCGTCTATATACATAGTTCAGTTTCTGGCTGTGTGATTTGTTTTTGCAGATGGCCCTCGTAAAAACGGCTTTAAACAGTTCGAATAAAGAAGACATCTAGGCGCTAACACAAGAGTTCAAGCCATCAGTAAAACCAATTACAACTTATTAGAACAACAGTTTGTCTTAAGACATCTTTATACAGTAGTTACAAGTAAACAAAAGGAGTACGGAAAGTAAGTTGAGTCTGTAAACACTTTGAAAGACACCACTGTTGGCTCCCTCTGTGAAAGCTTCAATGGCATCTTGTGAACCTGGAATGCTACAGTAACTGAGGCCAGGTCCACCAACTTCATCAAACTCTCCTCCTTTGGACCTTTCTGGTGCTACATTTGAAAATTCTGCAGGTCACTGTGACGGTAAGACGTTGCTGAGCTCGGCTGACATTTTAGAAGAGGAAACCTATTTATCATAGGCTGAAAATAGCTGAGAGGGGGGAAAAACTTCCTGTTAGAATGAGATACTGTAAACTATGCACAGACTGCTGTGTTTCAAGTGTTTCAGTAGTTTATCTAAAAAAAGAAAGAAAGTGTAGATTGGTAAGAGGCCCAATTCATTAAGAATGAATAGGGGTTAATAAGAAAAATACAAGTCTCCATGAGAATTGCCTTTGCTGAGACAATTTATGTGTCGTGGGGAATTTCTCGATGGAGCTTTATGTATAGCAAGATTGCTAGCATTATTGCTGGTAGCATCTCCGAGTTACAACAAATGGAATTATAATTTTTAAAAAAAGAAGAAGAGATGGTGTTTTGTACCTGTATGGGATTCTCAAAGTCCCAAACGCTTTCTACAGGAAATAAGGCTGAAATTGTAATGTATAATTTAGAATGAAGAAATCTCCATTCTGGCTTTTAAGTTCTGATTGATAAGAAGTTTGAAGGAATATTTTTGATGTTATATTTTGGAGGTAGAGTAGATTTAAGAACATTATGTAACATTTGCCGAGGATAGGCAACAGTGACCTCTGTGGCCACAAGTGGTAATTACAGTCAAAGCAACAATATACAAATTCCCATACTTGAACTGCTTCTTTGGTGCAGTTTACCAACATACAGCAGAAGCCAGTATTAGAAGTTATACAGTAAGCTGAGTGAAGCAGATGATTTTTTTAATTTAACTGAGATGTGAAAAGTTTCTGATGTGGGCATCTTCAAAAACCAGTGAGTCAACAGCTTTGCTATGTGCACGAGTATAAGTCATAACAAGCCAGCCATTACTTTTTAACTGCAAGACCGAGAGCAAGAATGTGCGCTTGGCATCAGTTGTTTTATTTAACTGAGCGCTTTGCCAAACCCAAATTTACTTTTGATGTCAAAGTTGTCTTATGTGCAGCGTGATTCAGTCACACTAGAGTAAAAATAGGATGGTAACCTCCTTGTAAATAAAAAAAAAATCAGTGGCTACCGAGTGATTGTGCTGATTGTTTTCTTTTTTTTTGTTTTTGTTTGCAGTGACAATGCTTGATTGCAGGCTAGGTTGCACACCTGGTCACCTGGTGGAGGCAACTTGTCTCCAAACAGTTGGTGTCTGACTCAGACTCACTGCAGTCACTCTCATACAGATTGTCAAAGGTTTGCAACTAGCTGGCATGTAATTTATAAACAAAGACAGACCATCAATGCGTTGTCATCAATGCGAGTCAGTCAGTGAGTGCAATTTGCCTGTGACGCGTCACCAAGCACGTGTGTCATTTTGTAGTTGAATTGCCAACCAGCATCAACAACATTATTGTTTGTGAAGGAATCTGATTTTTTCTTTTTGTCTATGAGATTCTGGCTGAACTCTGAATGGAAGTAGCTGATGTTAATTTCTGTTTAATTAGAATTTTTGTGCATCTACATGTAACAGATATGCGAATTTTGTCAATTTATCACAGTAAATCACTGTGTTGTTACTAATAGATTCCGTATAGATTCCTAATGACTTTATCTTATTGCAATTTTACATCTTTGACATCATCAAAGATGGCGACTGACTCCAAGTGGTTGCAGACCTGGGCCTGATCTCAATATTGTAGCATTAGTCTATGACTCCATGATGTGACTACCAAGCTACCTTGTGTTGGCTAGCTGAAGACCCAATTGGTGTTGCGTGATGTAGTCCCACAAAGTGTTACGCAAATTTTGTGGGAGATTGTACCTGATCAACCAGAATTACAGTGCAAGAACAGATGGGAATACCACTATACGCTTGAATTAAGTTGAGAGCAGCTGTTCAATGCAGAATTCATGGTCCCGTGTCTGTATCCATTTGCGTAGGTATTTGGCTACGCAGAGTGAAGAATTTTGGGCATGCAGCTTATGCAGTCCACCAGAGTGTGCTATCCTCTAAAACCCAACAGTGTACAGCCCAATGGGGATATAGAGTGAATACTGAGCAGCTGAAAAGTGGGCACTCTATTTCATTTCAGCTCTTCATAGGTTATAGTGTCAGTCTTACCCAAAACTGGCTGGTGTACCAAGCTGATGGAGTAGTCTTATAGACAGCATAAAAGATGGAGGTAGTTTCCGGTATTAAAACTAAGATAAAGTCCTTTAAACCTTCATTCTTTCTAACTGCCACCAGGGGGTGTTACCTGTGGTTGCAAAAAGACTTCTGGTCCCAAAGAGGAGTCTGGGACAACTCTCTGACTTGACTTGACCTCTGTAAACACTTTCCAGCTGACTTTATGGTCTCAGTCACTGATTTTGGTTAGAGTTCATTTTGTAAATCTTGGTGGTACGGTGTTTCAGAAATGAATATACCCAGACTTTTTATTGACGAGTGCTTAGCAGTCACCAATCACACCTGGTGGCAGACCCATGGCAATGGTGGCAGGAGACAAAACTCGTCGGAACATCGGTGACGCGATCTCCAGCTCCTGCAGTCTGCATGGAGAAGCATTTTTGGGCAAAATACTGAACTCCAAGTTTCCCTCGATTAATACATCAGAGTGTGAGCGTGCATGTGAATTTTAGTGCTTAGGCACTGAATAATAGTACTGTATAAATGTGTGTGTTACTGGGTGAATGATTTAATAAAAAGTATAGTAAGTAAAGTAAAAAAGTGCTCAATTTGAGTAAAGTGGTCTTTGAGGTTAAAATGTGATGTTATGGTAGCTGTTTCCATCTTTTATACTGTCTATGAGTAGTCCGTGGACCAGGTGTTCCACAGATTTTTGACACTGCCCCCTGGTGACAGGAAACAGCAACAACATGCAGATGGTGGTCTGATAAACTGTGTGTAGGACCAACACATAACCTTAAAGCCTCCTATTAATACAAATACGAATGGCTCGATCAGTTGGCCACGAGTCTCGCTTTGTAGAAATGTAAAAAAAAAACAAACGAGTCCCTTTGCTGGAGTCGTTTCATGTGTTTAAAGCAGAGTCAGACATGGTTTGGGATATACTGTGTAGTGTGCATCTTACAAATGCTGGGCCTCTTAACAACCCTTTGGGATAACTTGTTCTAGACTGAAGTGCACCGTTTTCTGTTGCATCTGGGAACACCACTGAATCAAACACAACAAAACACTGAACTAGTTAACTCTGAGCACAGCATGACTACAGTACTTGAAATGTACTCGGCACAAATCTGGAAGGTTTGCATGCTTTTTTTTCTCCATCAATTAGAATAACAAAAAAAAAAGGAGAGAGTAAAAAGTATTGCTTGTTTTTTCTCTGTTTTGAAAACCCAAATCAGCTGGTTTTATTTTGTGTTTCTCCACAAGATGATCATATCGGTTAGCTACACTGTGACTAAGTCTACTACACAGCAGACTTGTTGCTGCAAAAGGGAGAAAAGGAGCACCAGAGTTAGTGCTGGGGTTTATGTGATGTAACCTCCACCCTCCTTCCTATTCACTCTTTTTTTCCCCTCACTCTCACTCTCTATCATGCTCTCAATTCCTTGGCTGCTTGCTGCTAGACAGTACAGTGGCCAAGAGCAGTTGAGTGACAAGTTGACGGGCCAAATCGTCGGGTCCATTGCATCCCCGAGCAGAGACGCCAGCCACCTCTGTACTTCTCCCCTTCCTTCCTGCCTCCTGGGCTAAGTCCAGAGCCCACATCCTGGGAACATGGGGCCGGACGGCTGGAGCCGACAGCACAATAAGAGGGTTCATAGGAAAAGCCGTGTCCGCGTGTGGCTGGGAGGCGCTGATGCTGCCCATGTCATTTTGGCAGCTCGCACGGCTCTATCTGCTGGCCTCAATCACGCCAAAAGTCAAAGAGACGCTCCATTAATCTCGCTCAGCATCACAATCTTTTACCCAATGACTTCTGACAGCACAAAAAAAATAGTTTCTCTTTGTTCTACTGTTATTGTTCATTTGGTGTCCATATGAGGGTCTCTGATGTTCATCAACAAAAAAAGAAAGGTTCTACGTATGGGAGAACAGATTTCATGGAAACAGATTCTCGGAGTAGCATGTCAGATAACCAGAACACAGCAGAAAATATGACAACATGATATAGCTGCAGCCGAAGACAGTATCAACACAGTGAGAGGGAAAAAATTGTAGAGTTTAGGAGCCTGCAGACAGCGTGACAGTTCAGTACGTTTATCAAAACAGAATCTCGGCACGGGGTGAACTCTTAAGATTTGCCCCTCTCACTTCTGGGAAGTATCACACTGTGGTGGCCCGGCTGTGTTTGAGGGCTAGTGGCGAATACTCCTTAATACGAACACACAGTTTGCCCCTCAGCCAGGGGTTTTGAAGCTCCAGGGGACAGAAGTCGTCCTGTAACCACTTCTCTCTGTCGTCCACAACCAGCACGAGGCCGAAGTGCTTCAGCTGTTCAGGACTGTAGTAAACACACTGCTCCTGTTCGTCACCGTTTTCACTGCTTCCCATCATGCGCCGGGACACGACGTTCATCTCCTGCACCACCAGCTGGACCATCTCCCGTGCGGATGTGCCTGGAGTTACACAAAGCTGAAATGTAGGAGGAGATATTAGCGTTTGCCAAAACAAACACAAGGCGCTCTGAGTGAAAATCCCTGGAAAATGAATCAATACCTTGACGCTGGTCTCCTTTGGCAGACCTGTGCGGTACTGCGGGTAGACTCTGAGTGTGGCATGACAGCCTTTCCTGAGAGCAGCAGGTGATGGTGAGGCGAGTCTCTGAGTGCCGCTGTCTTCTGATAATGTGCGTGCCGGCGGAAGCCGTGACAGGCAGCGCTCAGCGGAACAGCAGCGGTCTACTGATGAGGGCCGGTGCCATCTTCGCTGCGGTGAGGTGGAAGGTGAAGGGCAAGTAGTGTGGTAGGAGTAAGGCTGCTGGTGGGCGGAAGGGAACTCCAGACTGCTGGTCCTCACGCAGAAGGCCTGCCTCTTCTCTGTGATGTGCAAAAGCTCAATCTGCCTGCTGGGCAAGATGAAGTCACTGTCAAACAGCTCCGGAGCCCCCCTTCGCCTTTCTCCTCCACATCGAAAGCCTCCACCTCCTCCACACCTCTCTCCTTCCCTCCCGTGCTGCGGCTCTGATGCTTGGAGGACGTCTGGTGTGGAATCCCGCAGAGCTCCCCCTCCACGTCCACCCCCGCTGAGATGCATTCCTCCTCCTGAGCCGCCCCCGTCGATGCGCAGGAAACCACGGGGCTCCAGGGGCGCAGAGGACGAGAGAGGTGAAGGGGGCAACAGGTCCAGCTCTCGGGGGCTCTGGGCACGACTGGAGTCATAGTCACTGTCGGTAGTGAGGAAAACTTCAGAGGAGCCTTCCTCATCTGAGAGTCCAGCAAAATCTAAAGGGTGCAAGAAAAGAAAGAAATTTATAAATGAGTACAATAATTCCACAATATCAAATTTTCTGGTATAAAAAAAATTGCTCATGTACAAAAAATATCTTTTGGAACCACACGAATCAGACGTCTTTCTGACCTGAGTGCTTACGGCATCGTTCGGGTGAAGGCATAGGAGAGGGCATGAAGTCTGGCTGAGATGAGGTAGAGGGAGGCTTGTCAGGCATCACCTCTTTAGAGAAGTCAATTATCCAGCTTACAGAGATGCCTCCTGTCGGCTGCTTGTAGCGGGCGTATTGCAAGGCATCCATAATCCATCTCACATCCCGCCACACCTCCTCCATTTGCTTTGGGAAAGTTATTAAGATCATAAGTTACAGTGACGTCTAATACTGTGCTACTCTGGGATTGTCCATCATAATGGGATATTTACACCTAGACTATGCTACAGGCTCGGATAAATCACAAATAGCTGACATGCTGACAGTATGTCATACCTGCATGTGTTCCTGAACTTGTTGGTGTTTCTTCTTGGCAACGAGGAGCTCAGCTTCAGAGAAGGCCTCCCGTAGTGCCTGCTGAGACATGAGGGACTCCAGCTCCAGCAAGGCAGACACCCTGCAGTACTGGCCGATGAAACTGGGGCAATAGGCATTAAAGTGCACTGAGGAAGAAAAGAAATCCAATAAGACCCAAAAGCAGAAATATAAAATCTTCTGAAATAGAGAAACACATATAGTAACAGCAGTTTTTCAAATATTTCTTTTATATAATACTGCATAAAATTTTATAAACTAACCCAATTCAAAGATCTGCAGCGGCAGTGTGAGGAAGCCGGAGCGCGGGGAGTATGGATTATTCTGACCGGGAGCCGTGCAGACTTCATCTGAAGGTGGCAGGAGGAGGAGGAAACACACTTTCTCCCCAAACTCCAACACTTCCTGGCTGTAGATACGGAAGTCCTGTGCCTAAACACAAAGAGACAGGTGATCTCTGTGGGTCTCTGGCTCCACAGGTATCGATGTACGCTTAGTTGAAGTCCTTTAGGACTGTAAAAATGTGACATAATACAGATATTTATATTTAAATCTTAAGCTTTCATTTGAATATATATGCAGTGTTGTTTGTGTACAAGAACTTTGTGGCAGAGGAATTGTTTTCAGGTTGTTTGACATCCTGTCTGTGAACATTAAGTCTCACGGACAGAAAATTAAATTTGGCAAAATGTTCAATGCAGTTCGGCTCTATTTACATAACAGTTGCCTTAAGTGCTTAATATTGTAAAGTAAACCATATGATATTACAGAGAAACCCAACAATCATAGGACCCCATATGAGCAAGCATTTTGGCGACAGTGGGAAAGAAAAACTCCCTTTTAGCAAGAAGAAACCTCCGGCAGAACCACGTTCAGGGATAGCTATCTGCCACAACCCGTTGGGGGTAAACACTTTGTTGTGTTGGTTCTGGAGGTCAATATTCAAGGTCGCTGTACCCTCATCCAATTAGATTCTCTCTGTATCTTAAAGAAATCCTACAACTGGGAGGTTGTAATAATTGGTTGATATTCTAAGAGTCATTTCTACTTTCCTTTGATAAACACAGTAAAGATCAGGTAATTGAGCCCAAGTTTATTAAGATTTACAGAGTATGGATCATAGAGTGCTATTTCAATCAATTTTATACGTTTCAGTATTTTAATAGCAGAATTAGGAACCAATAAAAAACCTTGTATAACAAAAAGCGACCTCATTGGGGGTTACCTTATCACACTCTTACACTTACACTTTAGACTGATTTACAAAGATTTCCCTACATGAGTGATTCATACCTTTAAGTCTCCAGTTCTTCATTCTTATAACAGTTAAATAACAGACTTTGAGCAATAGTCCTTCAAGCTTCCTGAAGGTCTTTCAAACATTTTTTGGACATTGGCTGCTTTTTCACTCATTTTTAGTCCTGACCATTTTCAGAGGAATTTTGTTTTGTTTGTTAAGCCACTTAACACTGACTTGTGGATCATTCAAGCATTAAAAAAAAACAACAAAAGAAAAGGAAAAAACAATGATGTGTCGGGTGATGTGTGGGGTCATCTTGACAGAATGGAACAAAAAGTAGCCAAAATGCAAAGAAGAGCTTTGAGTGTCATTCAATGTTCCATTTTTCTAGCAAAATACAAAGAAATAGGAGGCGGCTCAAGATTGTGACAGTGTGTATGTATCAACACAGTGCATATTTATCTTCATAGTCATGTAACTTTTAATAGCAGTGAAGTTTATGGTGCTGGCTCTCCTCCATTTGAACAGTTGGTGGGAAAAGTCAAATGGACAATGACTGCCATTGTGCAGGAATTCAAACCATGTTCTTTTAGAGAAATCATGTAGAATTAGTGGTCTAACCAGCGCTGCCTCAATTTCCACTGGAGTCATTTTAAAGAGCTTTGTGCTTCTGCTGCTGCCTGACTCGCTGTATGCTTCCCCAGGTTCTACGCATCAGTCAAAATCACTTTTACTAAACAAATTGTGGACTCACTCACTAAATAGATACAGTTGTCTTGTTCTGACCTGATTGCCAGGAATGTTGATGTGAGCTATCAGGTCCTTGATGGCATTACGCAGGTCCTGTAGGAGGCGATGGGGAGCACTCTGTACATCATGGTCCATTTCCAGTGACTCCTCCAGAGAGCTGAGGGCCTGAAGCCACTGCCACTCCTCTCTGGAATATCACAGAAACAACTCCTTTATTGTTTTGCTAGTTTAGTTTAGTTCTTGCTTTTGAAATTTATCAGCCTAACCAGCAGGACTGCAATTCAATTACACATTAGGTAATGCGTGATCCCAACCTGGACACATTGCTGTTGTCTCGAATTTTGGTATGACAGAGCACGTTGGGGAGTTTCTGGGGCACCAGTGCTCTTATCTGCTCCACCGATGTACACAACTTCAGGTAGCCCAGATATAAGCCTGGAGACAAAAGCTTCCTGCTACGCCTGTGGTACGCCAGCTTCTCCTAGAAACAGCAGACAGGGTGTCCCTTAAGACTTTTCATTGCATTTGAATACCACTAAAACAAACATACACAAGATGGAAATACAGAGTAAATTTAAGACGTAATGCAGTCTGCATGTCTTTTATTAAAAGAAACTAGACTAAGGGGCGTATTCGTGATAGCCTTGTGGGCAAGGTAGCCCAAATGCTCACTGTTTTGGGAATCCTTCCACATCTTCAGCTGGTATTTCAATGTAACTGGCATAACATCCTTCAGCCGTATACCTCGCCTGAGTGGGCCATCTAAGACAAAGTTAGCTGGCAAGCTCTGACCAGCCACATCCTTCTTGAGCTCCATTCTCCTCAATGGTTCTCCTCAGTTCTTTAATGGGAAATGAGGTAATGGCCTCATCAACCAGAGCTTAGCACTTGACTTCCTTCCTCATGACAAGCTGATAGCAATCATTATCAAGCCATTTGCCATTAAATGTGTATCTTCTAACTTCTGTCAACTAGCATTGACTAGAACTGGCCAGTCTTTACTTGACCTCCCTGCTGGGAATATGCATCAGTGAGTTTTGTATTTTAGTACATTTTTAGACATAGTCTGCCACAATTAAGGTACCAAATGTATTTAATCAGTCCAGTGTTACTGTTAGCTGTTTACAAACTCAAATGGTCGGCCAAACTACGTATAAGCTGTGGTTTTGTTTTTAGAGCAAAAAAGAACCAGGCACATGTTATGGCTAAATACCATTTTTACCTTCAGTGTCTGGTGTCCACTTATGTTCACTGACAGTGCTAGGATAAATCATCATCAGTTCATCTCTGTGATTTGGTGCTCTGCAACTGGAAAAAAACCTCTACCAGACTCTGGACTGTTCCTGTTCCAAAAGTAGCATGGCCGTAACACTGTTGTCACACTGCATGACCTAAAGGTATGCAGGGGTAAAAATAGCAGCATTGTATGGTGGAATTTCCACCCAAACTGAACTAAAACTGTGGAATTCAGTACCTTTTTCTTTATAGAAGTAATTTTTAACTCTATGAAAGTAAGTGTTGAACGGGGTGAATTACATGATGGCTGTGCTTTTAATTTTTTCTCCGTAAGCATCCTCTCAATCAGTAGTCCTGTTTTTATGTTTCGCTGTTCAGTTAGTCTTGGATGCTTTTCATGTTGTTCCAGCGTGTTTAAAGTGGAAGTCAGTCCTGCAGAATAGCCCATCAGCACATTTTTTCGCATTTCATCATATAATTTGTTCATAACTGGCCACAAAACAAATATTTCAGTAAGCTGTGGTTTTGCCAAAGGGAATCTTCGCTATTGTTTTGGAACCACAGGACAAAACCAGTGTGCTTTAGAGGCCAAACAGCCTTGCAACAATGGCATCAGGTTTACTAGGTTATATAGACAAAATCAACTTGTGGTTTACTTCCAGATTGTTTTTTGGTTGTTTTTTTTTGCTGAACTAAACATCCACACTGAATTAGTTATATAACACTAAATAACAACAGTTACACGGTTAGATCATCATCGTCTCCAACATGCTGAAAGTTTAAACTGCTACTTGCTGAATAAGCGGCTTTAAAACGTGAAGCGACTTCAAGATGGTTACGTTTACATGTTGAGCTGTCACAGATTGACCTGACGTTTGGCATTTTAATTAATCTGATGACAAGTCTGCTCAGTATGCTGAATGGCCTAATAATGACAGTGACAAATGGAAGAGCAGAGTCACGGTGATTAATGTTTGTCTAAATAAAGGGTGTCTGCACAAACAGAACTTGTAATTGGAAGCAGATTTCAATTTAAAGTCCTATTGTTCCTGCCTCGGTGCCTCATGTCTGTCAGGCTGTGTTTGGTTTTCTGTGAATGAGAGCCTCAGCGATTCCACTAAATACATGTTTCGGGGCATTTTGTTGTCGACAAAGCCCTTTATTCGACGTGCTTTGATCTGGCCACATCCTCGGGTAACATAAACGCAACATAAACTGCTGTGGAAGCGTTCTTTGACCAAAACAAAAACAAAAAATAGCCCAATGTACAAAACTGAGGTAACTCCTAATCACTGCCAGCCCACTTCTCTACAATATGGGAGCCAATCAGCTTGTTTTGAAGAGAGTGGATATCTGGACAACACATAACTGACATGAGAGGTAAGATTGTGTAAAATTTCATCTTGTATGTCCCGATTCTGCACATTCACATGCAGATACTGTCTACAAAGATGCCTTTTGTCATGGTCCCATGGTTTTGTGTTATTTCTGAGTTTTGGTTTCTGTTTGAAAACCGCTTGTTGATTTTTTTTTTTATATTTCTGTGTGAGCCAATTACATGTTACAATTACACAGTAATATCTTAAGACCTGCCGGACTCACATGAAGTGTGATGAGGAGCATGTCCAGCGCAGTGGGCTCTTCGGGGGATGATATAGATTTTCGTTGGAGCTGCAGTTTACAAAGCTGCGTCCAGCGTACCCCGTCAAGGTTGGGAGACGCATTCATGTCCTTCAGCAGCACCAACAGGGCGTTACCATGCTTGTCTTTGATCGGCTCAAAATATACCTGACCAAGATCCTGGGTTCCCAGTGCTCCCTGATAAAAAAAACATCAGATAATATTTCCTAAAATGTTTTACACTGAGCTCATATGATCACAGCCGCCATAATTTACTCATAAAACTATTAGACTACCTGTAGATGGGAGACGGCCTGCAGCATCTTGAGGCGAGTCTGCAGAGTGCATGAGCACGACGTCTGGGAAGGACCGAGGCACTGCTGCAGCCACGAAATTTCCTCCCATAGATAGGACACCTGTTGCGGGATAGGAATCATAATAAGGGGCATTGTAATCATTTGTGCAAATGCATAGATATGTGACTGTCAAGTTAAACTGTGGTCCATGCACCTTAGTAAACCATAGAAAGTCCTGCATCAGTGAGCTTGAATACGAATCTTCAATCTCCACAATAGGAATCTGCTCCTCTGGAGTCACCAACACGTTGTCATCTCTGTAGAATATGGACGCCAGATAGAGACCTCTGGAAGGAAACGCAGAAAAAAATGTGTGTATGAGTATTTAATACAGCTCTGAATGTTTAAATGTCAAAAAACACTAGAATCAGTACTTTGCTGTTTTATGTAAATGTACATCGTAAAAAGGTATCTTCCACAGCGTGTCTTTTATCCTGTCTTCCTCCCCTCAACCCTATAAACGGTCACAGCAGACGGCCGCCCCTCCCTGAGCCTGGTTCTGCCGGAGGTTTCTTCCTGTTAAAAGGGGGTTTTCCTTACCCCTGTCAAGTGCTTGCTCATAGTAGGTAGTTTGATTGTTGGGATTTTCTCTCTATTACTCTAGGGTGTTTACCTTGCAGTATAAAGGACCTTGAGGTGACTGTTGCGGTGATTTGGTGATATATAAATAAACCTGAACTAAAAATCTGGCGGGAGAGTGTAAAAATAAAATGACAAATTACACACCAGATTTGTTAAACATATAGTTAAAAGCCTAGGACATGGAGTGCTCTAATTTTTACGCCACGGTTCAAGGATAAACTCTCTTCTACCTTTTCAAACTTTTGACAAATTTGTTGGTGGGCTGGAAAAGGTGCCGCAGGCTCTTGGACACTGAGTGCTTCCTGCTTTGTGGTGGAGCTTTGCATTGCTCTGTGTGAAAAAACACAGGAAAAAAACAGAAAGGATTAAGCTAATTCCATAGCAACAACAGAGTCAGATTACCTGAATAACTATTCCAATGCCCTTGATGCTTAAAATCACAAATAGCATACCAGACACAATAGAGCCGTGACTCTGACTGGTTTTCTCTCTAAACTGGTGTCTACTCCTGTCCTAACTAAGCCCAGTGGCAGGCTGTTACCAGAGTTACCTAACTGACAACAAACCTGACACATCCAACATCGCGGTCAGAGTGGAATATTTCTTGACATGCTCTCCAGTGGTGCGGTACCATTTGACAGTCAAGCTGGCTGCCAGCAGCAGAGTATGGGCCTAAAGGGAACTGCTTACTCTCAGGTCCCAGAGGAGCTGTGTGTACACGTGTGTGTGTCTGTGTGTGTTTACCTGTACACGCTATAGCTGCTGGAGCATGGCAAGCCTCGAGCAACAGCCATACGCGCAGAGTCAAGGAGCTGTCGTAATTTGTGTGTGTGTACGTCTGTATGTGTCTTAAGCCTTCGCCGCTCACCTACAGGGGAGGTCAGTCAAGTCTGTGGGGACGTGTTTATTTTTAGTGGACCAGGAGGGGGTTGGAGGCCAGAGCGAGAGAGGTGAATGCATATCTATATGTGTGCATTTGTAAGGGTGCTTGTTGGTGAGATAACGCACCTCCCCACTCATTAGAAACCATGAGTCCCAAAACCCTTTACAGACCCCCCCTGCCCAGCTCCCCACAGGTGAGGTAACTCCAGCCCCAAGCCACTTAAAGTCAATAAACCTCCCCATTCAGCGCCCAACAAGAACTAATTTTCTCTTCAGGTGGATGAGTTGAGGTGTAGTAACCAGAAAAAAAAGCACCATTCGACCCTTCTCACCTCCCCAAATTTCGCTCCACTCGCGACTCTGTTCAGCTCCAGCCTTGCCAGGCCTCAGTCGCTCTTTGACACTGAGTAAGAGAGACAAGAAGGGCTGACTGCTGGGGTGCCTGGGTTAGTCAAGACTTCTTTCACAGTTTAATTAATAGTGTTTGGACAAGAGGGAGAAGGTGGTGTGGGCTTTGAGCCGGGCTGCGATGGCGGGGGGGTGCGTACATGGACATGTAGGGGAGTCAAGAGTTGAAAGCGAGAGCATGTACTTGAATATTTGCGTCTGCTCGTGTACACGCGTACCCGTGTGTGAGCCTGTCTATCTTTATGCGTGTGTATATATGTGAGGACAGTAGACAGGGCGACTGGTGGGCTGCAGGGGGCGAGAGGGGGAGGCAGCAGTAGTCAGTGTTAATTTATGCCCTCTCCAGACTCCAGCCCGGGACTTGTCTCTTACAGGAATAACAAACATGACCCCAGGACACGCCACCTCGACTACCGTGTCTGAACTCTCAAACTCAATCAGCCACCGTCTGAAGAACCAAGAGCCACTCAATACCGGCTATTATATTGCATCTTGCCCTGTTGCAAATATGGTCTAGCCACAGTGGACAATAGTAAGTGGGTGAGTGTGTTTGGGCGTGTGGGTGTGAGAGAAAAAGAGGGACAACTTGCTCAAGGCTAAGTGCAGTTTGCCGTCATGTAAAAAGAGGCAGTGTGGACAGGTTTTGACACTTATGGGACCAGCTTACAGCCAGCAGTGTTTAGGGATATAAACAGCTTGAGTGTGAGAGAAGCTGATCTGCATTTTGTCACAGAGAGGGAGAGGTATTCAGCCGAGGAACGGCTGAGTCATGGAAAGACTCGTGAGGGATGGGGAGGGGTTGCCGAGACAGACGGGAGGGTATTATTTTTGAGGCGACGTGTCACCTTAATATGTACGGCCTGAGATTGTAAAGTGTCTGTCATGCTGAGATGAAACACAGCAACCTGTTACACCTGTGATTTCAACTCTGCATCGTTGTGTTTCTTTGCGCAGGAAAAAGAATGCTCATGAAACATGAAGTCGTGCCAGTATTAAACACTGATCTTAAGGTTAAGTTTAAAACACCTTTGAAATTTGGTTGGGCTTCAAATACTTCAAGCTCTCATATTAGTTTTTAGTCTTTCTGGGGGAAAACAGCCCCTTCGAATTGGTCAAAAAGTTGTTGATACCATGGCAGACACAATGGCGGTGAGCTTCTTTTATCTGCCCAAGTAGCTGGTCCAGTGACTCCTTCTGTCCTCTCTGACGAGGAGCGCGGCCATCAATGTCCCTCCAACCTTCAGGGAGACGAAATAAAGAAAGAAAAACTGTTATACAACAACTTGTTACTGCAATTATCTAATCAGCCAATCATGTAGTGGCAAATCTATGGATTTAGGCATGTAGACGACCTGCTGAAGTTCAAACTAATAGGAAGGCAACAGTTACTCAAATAACCACTTATTACAACCAATGTATGCAGAAGAGCATCTCTGTTTGAACAATACACTGGATCTTGATGACGGAAGAACACCCCTGTCAACTAAGAACAAGAAATTGAAGCTATGATTCCCAGAGAAGATTTGAAAAATGTTTCTCAGTCCGTTGAGTTCTGAAAGCATGGATCCAACCTGCCTTTTATCCTTGGGTTATGATGCTGCTGTTGGGGTAATGGGGTGGGAGACATCTTCTTGTCACGCTTTGGGCATCTTAGTACCAACTGAACTTTTAAACACCACAGTCTACCAGATTATTGTTGCTGACCATGTCCATCCCTCTATGACCACAGGGTACTCATTTTCTGATAGCTGTCTCCAGCTGTGTCACTAAGTTCAAATCAACTAGATTCTTTAACATGACAATGATTTCGCTATACTTAAAGGGCCTCCACAGTCTCCAGATCTCAGTCCAATAGAGCAGCTTTTGGGTGTGGTAGAACTGAAGATTTGCATCAAGAGTGTACAGCCGAGACAGCTGTAGCAACTGCGTGATGCTGTCATGTCACCAAAATCTCTGAGAAATGCTTACAGCTCCTTATTGAATCTATGTGACAGGTCTGAAGCCAAAAGGATGTCATGGTGTAACTGACAAAGTGGCCAGTGAGTGTATATTTATCAAGACTCACAGAGCTCATACATAATAGGTGTTTTTAGCGGAAACCAACATGACGAAATTAGGGTACTGGTTCGTTTACACACATTGGTCTAGAGTTAGCTTTTTTTTTAGCATTTTTAGTTGTACCATGATCAAAATTTATACAAATATTTATGGCCCTATGGCGACATTATGTGGTTTTAAGTCCATCTATCCATCCCTCCGTCCATCCGTCCATCCATCCATCCATCCATCCATCCATCCATCCATCACCTTGACTGTTTACCCCAGTTGGGTCACAGGGTGCTGAAGCCTGGTCAAAAAGCAGGCTGGATGCTCCCTGGACAGCTTATAAGTCCATCTCAGGGTTAACACGGAGAGACAATCAATATACCTACAGGCAAGGTAGAACCATCAGCAACTTATTCAGGCAATCGAAGAACTTGCAAACTTCACTGAGAGAAAAAAAAAGCCTACAGTATAATAGCAACACCAAATGGTAACCACTCCAACACTATGCCACTCAGGCTAACATCTTATTTCACGTTTTTGTTTTTTAAATTAGTGCAAAACTGTCGATTGTACTGTCATGAAACGTGGTACAAACATTAATGTTTGGTTCAGCAAGTTTTTTAATGAAACAAAATTATTGTTGATTTATGAAAATGGTCTTTTTTAATTCTATTTTGGACACTGAAAAACAGGAATGTTTCTGTCATTTAACTGTTTACCTATTAATCAACTATATCAGTGTAGTATGAATGGCTGTGGGGGAGGTCTTTATCAGCAGGAAAACCTGTAAAACTTATAAAAAGACAGGTAAAAGTCCCAAAAAATATCTGCTCTCCGTACTTTACAAAGCTGTCAAGTGGGGTGGATTGGAGCCGTTGCTGGGCCGATTCTGACCACCAGGCCTTACATTTGACACCCCTGGCTTATAGTACCACCTTACTTGAACTGCTCGAATGGCAATGGCCATTTTGTCTATATTGGACACATAAGCTGAATGTGCTTAACATAAAAGAAAAATTAGTAAAAAAATTAGCAGAAATGAGCTGACATATTATTATTATTACAAACTAAACTGGTATATAATTGAGTTTTAGGGTTGTCAGCTACTTCATATTTTGTGTTTGAAAGCTCACTGGCTTTTATAACCAGAGGCTAGTGAGAAGAAGGAAACTAAGCTGATAGTAGACTGTTTTAATAGTGGACCGTTATCAGTTATGGAATGATAAAATTACAGGTAATTAATAAACTCTCAGCAATTTACATTTGATCAAAAACAGCACTTATTTTGTATAAATTATACTTGATGTGACATTATTATCCAGGTAAGATCAGACACATATAGTCACATTCTCTGCTGGACAGGCAGATCCCCTGAGCACCACTGATTTTGGGTTCAGGACTGAACATGTGCACAGAGATTCTGACGTAGTGCTCCTGCCACCTTGACAGCATCTGAGGAACATTAATGTACCACAAACTTAACTGTACCCCCAAAACGCTAAATATTCTCATTCCTCTGTCTTTTCATGTTTCGTCTTTCCCTGTGATGGAGGCACACTTACACAAAAACACCTACTTACAGTACACTGTATTAAAAACACACACTTGGCCTTCTCTGCTCATAGATGACCAGCTCTGCAGAAATCCTTCTCCCTTATGCATTAGAACCAGAGGATGTGTCAACGATAACCCACCCCCAACCAACATCAACTCCAACCCACCCCCCACTCCCTCTCCTGGAGCCCCCCAGGGGGTGTGTGGGGCTGAAACACGGTGAGGTCTATTCCCGGAAAGGTGCCTGTCCCAACAAGACAAGCGGGCCCTTTAATGGGCGTCCACGGCCCGGTATAAGGCCCCCACTGTTGGGGCCGCGCCGCGCGCTACAGCACAGACATGCAAATATTTCCAGTGGTAGGCCCAAATGGAAAACACAAACACGCAACATCGAAATTAGCTCTGGGAGAGGGGAGGTAGAGCGGTGGGACAGTAGAAAAAAAAAAGGAGAGGGGGAAGCCTAGTTTCACAAACTTGCTGAAAAACACTGTGTGCTGATGAGGACAAACATGTTCATGTGTTCTCCAGATGTGCCACGAGCGTGCCAGTGTGCCCACAGCAATGCTACCTATGCTCACGCTCTTACAAAAGGTGCATTTTGCATCTGCAACAGTCAGAAGAGTCCTTTCACAAATCTCAAAAACATGAAAACGTAAAAATTTCACACAAACTAAAGAAAGAGACAGATGGACTGAAGGAAAGGGAGAAAGAGGGTCAGAGCTGCAGCGGTCAACAGCTCAGCTGTTGCACATGACTCCACGGTTAATTTCTTGGCTGAACCCGGGTGGCTTCTCCTGGCAGCTGGGCCCAAGCAGCATCCTGAGGCTACTGTTACACTCACTAACATCCGCAGTGAGGGTCCCACAACCCGCCCAGCCGCCCTGGCAGAGCTGGAGGAGAGTCCAGCTGTCATCCCTCTAGTGATGGCACAGCAAAATTGGAATGACACCAGCGTGACAAATTCAATTAACAAAATTAGGCGATGCCCGGGTCATTTTATGTGTAAGACTACGAAACAAATCACTTATGCAAGACAAACATACACACACACACACACCACAGTTATTAATTTAGTGAGGTGAGCCAAAACCTTGTAGAGCAAGGGGCACGTTTTGAAATCACCCTAAATTTGGAGCTTTATGTTTAGCTTTGTGTAAAATTTAGACACAGGCTTTAAAATACTCATATTTATACAAAGAAAATAGACAACTTACTGGAAGGTGCAGCACAGGCCGGTGTGGAAATTTTCCAAGGTCCCCAGCCCTTCATGTTGTACGCTGACACCTGCACGTAGTAATAGGTCCCCTGGGAAGAGAGCAGATAGGACACTTACGACAGAATCTGCTTGCGTGTGGCAACAACCGAAAAGGAAGTGTTTCTGTAAATGACCATCTGCATACATGTGCATGTGTGGAGCTCAGTGCATCTCTGTCTCCCAGCGTGCAGACGGCGAGCCCCTGCCTCTCCTTTCTCAGCCAGATCAATCACACCAGCCGCCAAAACTCACTGGCCTTGCCTTGACCCCTGTTCTTTTTTGACAGGAGTGAGCTTTAGCTGGTAGTGGGGGTCTTAAATGGGGGATGGGTCTTCCCTCACATAATAACTAACAACCAGTGGAGTGTCCATTTGTCTCCATGTCCGTTTAAAAAATGCCACCCATAAATCAGGTGGCAGGCTACCAAGCTGCTCTTTTTTATCATTTTGGCAGCTGCCTGCAAATATCACTTACGGGTGGTCAGGAGGGAATAGGGTTTGGTGTGACGCTTAACATATACAGTAAAGAAGGGTCCAGGGCTGTGTGTAACAATACCAGGGCCCTTCCTGTGAGAGAATAGCTACAAGCTATTCTACAAGCTACAGCTGGAGAACCTGCAGCATAGTGCTGCTTAAACTATGGTGATAAAATGTGATTGGAACATTTTATCTGTAAGTTGGAAGGAATCTGTAAGTGCTTGAGCTCATGGAAATGTGCATGAAGAAAAACAACAACAATGTGCCGGCAGAAACTTACAGATGTTAGTCCAGTAATGTTGCACTCGAGTTGAGTGGCATCATCCACTATCATCTCACCCAGCAGAGGACTAAACGAAGGATTACCGCTCCAGCTCACTTCAAACATACACAAACACAAACATTTTTCATTAGTTATCAAACACTAGTCATTACTTTACAGTAGAATTACATTGCTTTTCCTTGTTTTCTTTAATTAATATGCTTTTACAGTAATGAACGCTTACACTGAACACACCCACTACGGGTTTAGAATAATAATGCATGCACAAGAAAACCCCTATGAGCCAAAAGCTTCAGGCTGTTGAAGCTTTATGATGTCAAAGAGAGCGGATGTCCTTAATATTGTCATCTCAGGGACAAATGTCCCACCCACTGTCCATTTTTCCCCCAATGGACTGCCAAGCAGAAGAAAGCTGTGTCCTTTAAGGGAGAGAAGCAACAACAGCTTGTTTCAGGCAAACAGGCCAAGTAGAGATTAAATAAGGATTTTGAACTGTGGGCCATGCAAAGCTACTCTCCAATAGTCCAAGAATAAAAAGCTTGGAGCTGGAAATGAACCTAATATGTCCACTTGTAACTCTACATATTGTAATACTGAGTGGTTTGTTCTAAATGAAGTGGCTGGTCTGGTGTGACGGCCGACCTTTGTATTTGGTAACCACAGCAGAGTTGACACAAAGAGGTTCCTGGAAGTCAACTTTTAGACTGGTGCTGCTGCTGACAGACAGGGAAACTACACTGGGAGCATCTGGAGGACCTGGAGAGACAGAGGACCAGAGAGAAGGCCGGGTAAATAAGCAGAGTACACACAAGAATACACAACAGTCAGATTACTGTAATGGGATCTTTTACATGTTTTGATCTGTGCACAGTGCACTCACTCAGTTTGAGAGGGTTTGATATGCAGTGAAATTGTGTATGATGGTAAAATCAAAGCATTTAAAGGCAGCGCAGCTTCATCTTTACCCTATAATCTTCACAAACCGATATAAGCTTAACACAAGTATGTCACAGATTCTCACTGTGGATATAACAGCACAGACATTAACCTTCAACCTGTGCTTTATTACTTTCACGTGCATTCACACATGCCCATCAAATTACATGAGTAATGTAGAACTAAAAGGCGGGAAAAGATCATTTTTACATCAAAATGCACATTGGTGTGGGTACAAGGGAGGAGTGTCTGCTTTCTGAAGAGGGGGGCGGGTTAGCTGTCTGCCACTAAGCGTGTCACGAAATGCCTATAACAAATTAAAGCAGGAATACAGGCGTGTTATGTTTGTGCACACACATACATGCCACATAGTTGTGTGTTCGGCTTCCCAGTGTGGAAGCCATTAAGTCAGCCCAGACAGAATGACAGCAGAGGGGGAAAAAGGGGTGCAAAAAAAAAACAAACAAAAAGAAAACCAAAGATGACTGCTGGACTGCAGGAGTGATTCAGGCGGCAAACTTTTATCGGCTGGTTAGCATGTGAAAAAAAAAAATCTAAATCAACTTGAAGCCTTACTGGCATGCTCAAAGCCTGTCTGCATGCGTCGGAAGAGCCGGAGCCTCCACTCCCAAGCTTTTAGCTGGCGCTCACGGTCAGATCCCTCCCGCTCACCGGGACCCTCATTCCGCACCTGGGGCTGTAGCTCCAACACTCGCTGCTCGGCCTCCTGCACCAGAGTGGCCAAATGAACCGCTCGGCCCTCCAGACTCACAACTAGGAGGGAAACACAGTGAGAGGGGGAATGTCAGCAGATAATTTTAGTATCAAAACAAGAAGCATTTTATCACACGAAACTCTTTTATTGCCAAACCAAATCCCAAAAAAATATTTTAGACAAATCAATGCAAAGCTTGAGTATATATTTGAGTGGGGCTGGCTTTCTAAACCAAAATTCAATGAGAAAATAGCGTGAATAAGAACAGGGGATAGAGACCATTCTCATGTTTGGGTATTATTATTATTATTATTTGATATGTGAATGTTTCCATGAAGAAAAACATGTTCTAAATTATTTACACTGTATTTTATTAAGAGATTGGACGATGCACAGGCTTAGATAGCGCTAGAAACCCATCTGTCGCCCGCAACGGTGCAAATTTCTTATGAAGGCCGCTCTCTCGCTCCCTTTTTTTAATGCCTTTGTTTGCCCAAAATACCGCGGCAGATTCCACAATAAACAGCATTTAATATAATTAAGCAGTCTCTCTTTTGGGCAATGACATCACCTCGAAAATGACACCAAAAATGGGGCAATGAAAGTGAGAGGGGTGAGAGAGGGAGGAGTGCTCTTCATGTGCGGTTAGAGGGGAAAACAAAACGGTGGGAACGTGCATGGGCATCGCTTTAAAGCGCCATTGTAAAAGCTATTTTTCTGCAAATGTGCGGAAAAAAGTCAACTAAAACTATAATAACGCCACAGGCTGCTAGGACCAGAAGATACTTTCCAAAAAGGGGAGTGGGGTTTCAAAGGCATCGCTAGAGCAGACGAGCTGTAACCCAGGGCCGAGCGGTCGCTCATAGTGACCGGTGGTGTTAACGCAGAGATCAACGGTGCTCCGATTTGCATATGCATCGCTGTAGATCGTACAAATCAAATTACAGGACAAGTGACGTAAAGCTGCTAAAGGTCAAAGAGGACAGCGGGATACTGTACTCCTCCTGCAAGCGGCTGGTCATTTCTTGGAGTGTTTGGGACCGGTGTGTGTCTATGTTTAGTCTGTGTGGTCTGTGTTTGTTCATTGTAGATTCCACTGTTGAGCGTTAGATTCCACTGTTGACAGTAAGTTTAAAGCTCCGTGTCAAAATGTCCATCTGGGTGTTTAATTCTGCGGCTCTCTCTGTGTCTCCTCGGTGGCTGGGAGCTTCTCTTTTTCAACCTTGAGCGTCTCTTCTGGGTGTCACCTCTGTCGTACTCTGCAGACACTCATGTGAAAACTTGAAGGCAGTTCTTTGCTTTTATTTTTTTTAAAGGGATTACGTGAAGGTCAGGGTCGAATTAGGTTAGGACAGAATTATTACTGAGGATCCTTGGACATGGACTATAGCTTGGATGGAAACAATCAAAATAATAATAATAACAATATTGGTTCACGTTGATTTATAATTCCAGCTCCTCTGGGCTTAGAAAAAGGCCCAGAAGCTGTCATGAATGTGTATGTGTGTCTTGATTTGTCCTTATTTCACATTAAGGCTTTGTCTTGTTGAGAGCCACTAAGGGATTAATAGTGTGAAGATGAAGTTGCTTTTGAGAGCGTGTTTGTCTTTGCCTGTCCTTGTCTCTCTGGTAACCACACACTGTGTAGTCAAGCATGGCAATAACAATAAGCGCCATAATCAATTCCTTTTAAAGTTCAAGGAAAAGTCTGCATCATCTATCGCGTCAATTATCCTCAGATGGCGTTTCGAGCATGTTCTCGAAAAAACAAAGCTTTGACTTTCATTATGTCCCGTCGTTTGCTTCGTTTGCTTCTCTATTTATGTCTTTTTGCGGACAGCGCGCACGGCCCGCTGTCTCGTGAGTTATTGGGGTTCTGGAGAGAGAGCACAATCAAACACTAAACTTTAGTAAACACCACTTTCCATTCAAGTGTTTTCAATTTAATGATACCTTTATAAGACGTCTGGCTCGGTTCTTGAAAAAAATGAAGTGTGTGTTTGTGTGTGCGTGTAAGTGTAAGTACAAACACAAACAGCCTAGGAGCCTTACTGGCGAGTTGTAATCATTAACAGAGGAAGGCGGCGGCGGCTCACCAGATCACAAACAATTAAAAGTGCTTACGCAGATGACTAATATTGCATCACAATGGCTGCCCCTCTGTTGCCTCTAATATGTTTTCACTGGCAGCAGAAAGCAGAAATAGATGTGTGAAACTGTCAGTAGAGTGAGGATAAATCCATTACTGGTGTGAATGAAAGGAGACTGTGTAATGTTTTAACACCTGCAGTTGATTTACATGACGCTGATATTGCTGGTTCAATACAACAGTTCTCCCGTAATCAAACGCCACCCTCTGCCTTGGCTACTTGGCATGAGAGGACACGGAAGACATTTGAGAAACGATAACAGGTTGGTTGTGTCTGTAACAGAAGATGAGAAACACACGGTTTTGGAGCCAGAGGTACCCGCAGAGGTTCAGGGAGAGAAAAGACCGAAACTACAGGACAGCGATGAATGCACTGAGATCGAAAGAGAGAAAAGAACACAATCTCTCATCATTCACACCTTTATGGTAGTTTCTAAGCTTGCTGCAGACCAAAATCAGCAAAGCTGATTAGAAAGCAGCAGTATATTGCTTTCCCCCGGTGTAACAGAGGGAAATCCCACTTTCAGCGTGTCGCTGACTTCTGATCATTTCCCTGGGAGAAGCGCTCCCCTGACTTCAAAGCTCTTACTGAAGTGGCGCTTGTAATTTCCAGTCTCCAGTGTGGGAGCAGAGCACAAATTAAGCCTCCAGAACTAATTAAAACCGCCATGATAAGCTGTCTGCTCGAGGCAAAGACACAAAACCTAATGACAATTGCCTCTGCAGCAGCGTCTCGATTTGTTTTGAGTACACAGAAGTGAGTGCTCAGTTCAAGTGCACACAGGCAAAGAGGAAGGCTTGAGTTCAAGCTGGGGAAACGCCAAGTCCAAGACAGGTTTATGCTCATATTCTAACTGTAACTGTCTAATTCTTGTTTTCACATGTGTGTGTGTGTTTAGATCCTATTCCAACAAAAGAAAAACATTCTTCTTATTTCATAAAAAGATCACGTGGAAAATAATGCACAGGTTTTCTCTTCCCACCGTTTAAAAATACTAAATTTATACATTTGTTTTGTAGGTTAATTCCTGCAACTTTAATTTCAGTGAGCACCAGACTGCACACGCATGTGTTTACGCAGTATTATAACACTATGAAAAGATGAAACTTTATTTGTTTTGTTAACATTATCGTGAGCTTAAACCATCACTACCAGCAGGTACGCTCTGCTTCTCTACTCACAGTGGGGGCTCTCCTTGGCACCGGCTCGCAGCAGAAGCTTAGCCATGGGCACATTATTGGTCATGATGGCGATATCAAGGGGCAGGAGCCCCTCGCTGTTAGGAGTGTTGAGATCCAGCTCCTCCAGACTGTACTGTGAGAGAAGGAGCTGTACCAGGTCCAACTCTTGATGTTCCACTGCCTCAAAAAGAGCTTCATTACTCTGAAACTGTAATAATGAATGTTAGGAATGAATAAAAATGAATAGGAAAGTTCTTTGCAGTGCAAACATGGAAAACGCCATTTTTCTTCATGCTTTCTGTGTTGCTATACAGTAAATAGATATTTGGGTGTGCAACGCCAATACCTGAGACTATTCAAGCCTACGTGTTTTCCCAGACTATTTTTAGATTACAATGTTCCTGGGCTTATTATTTTTTCCCTCTCCCTCGCTCTCTGACTTACTATGGTGGTTTTGCGGAGCCTCTCCTTGTCTCCTCCCCGTCCTGACACCACACTGTCCTCCAGAGCAGGGGGGTTGGTGCCCACGCGGAACTTTCCAGACAAATTGCGGTAAAGGCGGCGAGCAGCGCTCGGTGAGGACAAGCTGGCAGACTTGCGAGCCGAGACTGGCTGGTGGGCCTGGTCCCCTCTCATGGGCTGCGTCATTTTGGCCGAGTCAGCCCTATGGGAAAGATGGATGCATGGGAGACATGAGTGATAGGTGGGAGTAAGAAACAGAATCTGACATCTGGTACGATACATCACGCTGTAGGAGAAAGAGGGTAAAGAAAAGGTGCTGAGTACAAAATTCACTATGTGTTCGCTTCTCAAGTCTACCATAATATCTTACATCTTTGGGAAAGGTCACTGAAGTCATGACCAGCTGCTATAGCAATAGAGGAACAAAATACAAGGAAAGCAGAAACAAGCATTTTAGTTTACACTTACAGGTTTATCGAGATTCTACTTTATAAAATCAGTTTCTGCTTATAGAAACCAGCACATAAACTGCACAGCCGGCAGAAGGACCGGCGAGACCCCCATACAGAAGATAGCTCACATCAGTGGCAATACATGCAACACTGATTGCTTAAAATGAGGGTTGCAAATTGGCTTGCAGACACACATCTGTGGGCAGTGCTAAAGCAACGTAATTAGTGCACTTTGTACGAGATTTGTCTATCAACTCAGAAGCTGATGCCGAGCTTCACTTTGCGGCCTAATTAACGCTAAGCTCTGTTATATTACCCAGTGGGAGTGGGGGCTAAAACACCAACGATCGAAAGCATGGTGATACATTACACTGATTTGCCAGATGGGCACCATGCTGACATTATCAGCTCTTACTCGCAGGTGGTGCACAGTCATCCTAAACTGGCAATGCCAGCCTTGGTAGCCAGTTTGCCAACGCTGCTCTGCAATATCATACGTTAGTCAAAAAGATCATCATCTCTTGCTGATGGTTTCTTGGCATGACTGGTATGAAGATTATACTGTTCCCTCTCCATTCTGCCATGGGAACTATGTGGACGGCAGTGTGTTTCTGGGGAGAGTCTGGCATGTAGCGCTCTCACACACTCAGCTGCTGAAGGAAATGTCATCAGGACTCTCCAGGCGCTGGTGATAAACTCTGTGTCGGGTCCCACCAAAGAGAAGCAGAGAGATAACTGAATTCCTCAAGGACGCCTTTTCAGCAGCCCTAGCTCTTGTTTAGTACACCTCTCCCGATATCTTATGAACTTGTTCCTCCTCTAATCATCTCCTCCCCACTCCGTCTAACACCTACCCTTCTTTCTATTGCTGTTTCACTCTTACTCTTTATCCCCGTACTGTTTATATTTCCCAGTATTTCCCAAATTCTCTCCACACTGTCGTCACCATGATTCAACACTTAATCCCGCATGTTTATAAACAACTAATTATCCGCTAATTGTCCACGCTGATTATTAAATAAACAAGTAGGTTTCCATGTGAGGTGTAAGATAACAACTAAGCAAAAACTTAGTAAGTAGATGAGAAATTTAACTGTTGCCTTGCTTGGTTACCTCAAAAAATGCTCACTTGTTGGCAGCCACACTGAGAAACATCATCAGATAAATACTGGTGATGTTGTTAAAAAGAAAATGGTACTGGTTGAAGACACTACTGTAAATAAAGCTGTTAGTTTGGGCCATCTTGACACATGCCAAGAACAGATTTGCAAAGGTGAGAACATCTGTAGGAAAAATGTTATTTATACTCCCGCTCCACAATGGACGTGTGAGCCCAAATGAGTGTGCATACATACACACACTAACCCTCCCCCCAACACACGTAGTTCGTACAACAGCTGACAGCGGCCTGCATTGTAGACTTTAAAGCGGGTCCAAGCCCCCGCAACAAGGCCTTTTTCACATGGCCAATACACCTAAAATACCCCCGATCCCCATCCCTTCCCGCTCCGTCCCATCCATCTCCACTCCATCCCGTAATAGAGGCCTTATTTTAGACATCCTCGTGTTCCCGGCTGGGTCTAACCTATTCCAGGGTTCCAGATAAAGCGCGGCAGGTATTTGGAATAATTTTTCCATGGGCCTGGCCCGGAAGATAAAACAAGAGATATATTTGTAATGCGTGTGCTGGTATCCCATTTCAAAGAGAAAGCCCATTGGAATCCAGCTCCAGGCTTATTGTTATTTGCCTGAGATGGAACAGCCGACTTTTTTCTGTCGGCAGGATGGTGCCCCATCACTCTCTGACGACATTAGGGTGTGTGTAATGCGCTCTGTGTGTGTGCCCTGTGCTTTCAAAGGGATGTTGCATCCTACACATGAAATGGGGATGTCATTCCCCAATGACACAGCGCCCACACTAGAGAGAGAGAGAGATGAAACGTATAATGAATGGAGCCATTTAAAAATTATAAATAAATCAAATCAAATCCTAACAATTAAGCGTCACAGAAACAGAATCTATGATGAATGTATGTACGAACACCCTTGGAGAAACTATAGTACTGTGCAAAAGTCTTGAGCCATCTCTCATTTCAAGGAGCCAGACTTTGTTGTAAGGCTTTCTGACAGTCTTTCAAAGTTTTTCTTTGGACATTGCCTGCTTTTTCACTCATTTTCAGTCCAGTCCTCCTGCCTGACCATTTTCATGTTTTTTTCCCCTCAGACAGCTACTTAACACTGACCTAACCCAAGGGATGAACCAGGGTTGTGTCCCACATAACAGACAACCTAGTGGAAAAAAGCATAATTTGTACTTGATGAAACAAAGTTATCAAAGATCTGACATAGGGCCTGAGAAATGCATCTGGTTCTTCAGAAGACCCATCTAATCTTCACAGTGGAAGGGTGGCTGTAAAAAAGCCACTCTTAGGAAAGGGAAGCAGGGAATAGGGCATCGAGGGCCGGTGTCCTGCAGGTTTTAGATGTGTCCTTTTTCCATTGCAGCTGATTTAAATGGCTAAATTACCTCCTCAACCTGTCTTGAAGTTCTCCAGAGGCCTGGTAATAAACTGATTCAGGTGTGTACACCCAGGGTGAGATCTAAAACCTGCAGGACACCGGCCCTCGAGGTCTGGAATTGGCTGGGCTAAGGTATGCCAAACTACACAAGAACAGAAATTTCTGGTTAAATCTGTCACGAGTCTGTATGAAGGAAGGCAGGAGAGAGGTACAAAAGTGAAGGCCTAAAGCCATGTGTAAACACGGTAGAGGCTCAGTCATAGTTTAGGGCTCAGCCAGTGGTGTTGGAGATCTTTTCAAAGTTGATTAAATTATATGGGCTATTTTGAGACTTTTGCACAGTAGTTTAATCATACTGAATACTGATGGCCTGTCTATCAGTGACCTTAGTGTTGACTGAACATGAATGCACGTGTTTGGGCAGCTCAGATAAATGCTGAAAAAAATCATTAAAACAACGAGTAGCATATTAAAACTGAAAAACTGACAGTTAAAGTTGGTGAAATTCACACTGATGCTGTTTCTGTTATAAAGTGGTAAATGCCAGGCATGTCCGCACCTTAAAGACCTCTAGGGCCCGGCAGTATGGCCCAAGAGAACAGTTTCTCCGACAATAAACATGAAGAACCAGATGTGCAAACTCAGACTCACAACACACAAATAACCATGCTTGAACCTACTTGAACTTGAACAAATCCAGACAGCGACTATTGCACACAATTTCCTACTGTTTTACCAGTTTTTGGGAAGCAGGAAGCAGTTGTTCTGGGAAACCAAAAGTCTCAACCTAAAAGCCAAGCTCCACGCTTGGCTCTTGATCAGTGCCACATCAAATACACCGAGCATGCTGCTGTGAACATCTATTAGGCCCACAAAAAAAATTAACACCCCCAAGTTGCAAACACACGTACATGCAGCATCCGCTTTATCAAACCATATCAAAAACAGCTTGGGCCTCCAGTCAGTGAGTCACATGTAAACAGAAACTTCACAAACACAGGGACACGGAGTCTAGACATTCACTTACTGTTTGACCGAAAGTCAAGATGGGAAAAACTATTATTTAAAGAAATGGTAAATAATTGTCAGTTAAAGCATTTGGGAGCCAACCGTAAACACGCAAATACCAGCATTTGTGTGCAGAAGGGCGTTTCACTGAACCTGGTAGCAGAATGGATAAACAGCAACTTCAATGAATCCATCCAACCGGGGGTGACAGATTCACCCATCCTCTCAATAATAATAATAATAATAATAATGTATTTTCTAGCAATCAATCTACCCGCAGCCACAACAGCTGTTCTTGTTCTGGTGGTTCAGTCTTGTGAGATTTGGAAATGAAAACACGTTCCCTCTCCCTCACCGTCACCAGCTTTGATTCCGACACATTTTTGCTGTTCCCCTCTCTTCCTTTGTTTCCCCGTCTTTCACACACAATTAGTTTGCCTCCTCTTCTTGTCACATAGTAACACGTTTTTGCCATTAGCTGCGCAAGTAACTCGGGGAAAAATTCAAAACAGTTGCTCGGATGTTTGTAACGAGGTAATGCACAAATAGTTAGGACAAATAGGAACGAGAATGCAAGAAGAAAAATGTTGTTGGCCACTGCTTTGTATTCCTATAAACACAGATAATGTCAAGATAAACTGGAAACAGTGGAAAATCTCTTTATATAACCACAATTTGCTATTGCAAAGTATGCATGTGCGTACATACGTGCCAGAAAAGGACATTACAGAGAGTGCTGCTCAAATTAGCTACAGCAGCACAAAGGAGGATCTATTGACAGTGAGGAGCAGACTACATAATTGCAGTAAAGCAAAGAGAACAGTACAAATAGATATGGACAGTGCTGTTTAAAAGGTTTGCCCTTAAAAGAGGCCCAGTATGCTACCTAAGGAGCAAACAGTCATTTGTTTTCCTTTCTTTCTTAAAATCACCTTAACATCCCTCTCTATCTCCATCCACACCCTCTCCCACTTCTCTCGCCCCCTTTTCCCACTCAACCCATCAAGGCCATCCAGTCCCAGTGTCTTCACCTTCAGTCTTCAATGCCACTCGCTCAAACTCCTTACTATGGCTAGTCGACTCCTACGAGAGCACATTAATGTGATTCCTGTTTGGCGGTGTACTTCTAACTGAAATTACTACGTATTACTCGACGTGTATAAGGTGATTGTCTCGACAAAATAACTGGAGACGGATGGATGGGTAGAGAAAGATGCAGAAA